GAACAAGTCTCTGCTGGTTCTATCTCCTTCAGCTCTCTTCTCTCCCTTTCTCCATCTTCTCACTCTTCCTCCGATCTTGATTCCCAGGTCAGCTATATATATTATACACACTCCTCTACTTACACTATACATATACAAACACATAACACATTTCATATATAGTTGAACAAATTATTCATATAGGTAGTGGCAGATTCTTGGTTGAATCCTCACTTCGTGCCTTTAAAACTTTGGTATATTTTCAATTTTACTATTATTTTTCTTTTTTCTTGCATATCTATTGATGATGATGAGCCGTTGAAATTTGCCTATGATTTTTTTCCTCCTCACAGAAATTCAATATCATTATACTTTGACTACTATTTTGGATCTGTTGAATTCACATTCTCTTTCATTTTATTTCTGGTTTTGTTTATTAAAATTTAAAAATACTATAATAGTATATTGTTGTTGGTTGAGATGACTTCAGAGCGAACGTGAACCAATTGTATGCTCCTTTAAAGCTGTGATTGTTTTGTCTGAAAAGGGCACGTTTGTCGGAAATTGTTAATTCTCAAATTATAAAGAAACAAAATAATAATCAGAGCATTTTCTTAAACTATTGGCACAATGGCACCATTTCATAACACTATATTGAAAAATGTATCAACAATCCATTGAGAATATATAGCTATGTGATTTCAGAGTTGTTTTTTTTTTCTTTCACTTTTTACATACGTCTGAAAATTTTGTGATATTTTTTGTCAACAATATGTATTTTGCAATTTTAAACTCAAATGGTGGCATTTGCACTAGCACAAAGCATTAGTCTACATCCTTTACTTGAAAGTTTCATTTGTGAATTAAAATCATTGTCATTATGCCGTTTAACAAATAAGTTATGTTTTTGACCTCATTATTTGGCAAAAATTACTCTATAACTTTTTTAATTACATGATTTTAGTTTCGCATGTAGTTGATAATAACACAATTAAACAAAAAAAAAAAGTTTCATTGCAACAACTCCATGATGATTGATGTTTTGTTTTTTTTGTTTGTACAATCATTTCTTTATTCCGTCACCAACTAGCGTCATAGTTCCCAACATTACCATTGTCATCAATTTCATGAACTCAATAGCTTTTATGTATTTCTAAATCGGATCTTAGTTTCATGTTTTCTAGTATAATTTTACATTCCCCAATATTTTTGGTCACCATTCACCATCATAATTCAAAATCTCGACCTTCGATGAAAGCAAACATCGCAACCACTACAAGATTTATGTTGCGTGTGGGTGCATCAATTTACAATTAATTATAACTTTTTCATACATACATTAATAATAATAACTTAATTATGT